GGTGGCGGGGAGCGCTGCGGCTCCCCGCTGCTTCCCCTGCTCGAGGGTCTCCCGCAGGGAAGAGGAGCTTGTGTGGCCCCGGGCGAGCGGGTGCAGAGCGAGCCCCGCCGGAGACCGGGTTTTCCCGCAGCTGCCAGGGGAATCGGTCTGATACGTTTATACAAACGGCTCTGCCGCTCGCGCCGGGGGAAGCCCTCCGCGAGGTGGGGCCCGCCGGTCGCCGGCTCCTCCGGTCCCCATACACCGAGCAGGAGACGTGGCGAGAGGCTGGTTTCCTCGCAAGGTCTCTGCGGGAGGTAGCAGGTGCGGTGATGGATCATAGGGATTCAGGATTATTCAGGTAGGGAGGGACCTCAGGAGGTCTCTAGTCCAACCTCCTGGTCTTCCTTCCCGGGGACAGAACTCAGTACTTCTACTTGCACAATTGCACAGGGTTCCCGTCTGCTCGTTCCTCCAGCCTGACCGGGTCCCTGTGGATGACAGCCCTCCCCTCAAGTGTATCTACTGGTAACCCTCCTCCCCACCACCAATTTGGTATCTTCTGCAAACCTGCCAAGAGTGCACTCCATCACCTCCTCTAGGTCATTGATAAAGATGTTAAATAGGACGTGTCCCAGGAGAGTCTCATGTAGTATTCCACTTCCTGGAATACTGCTGACTTCCTGGCTTCCAGGCAGAGTATGATCCATTAACCAGCCCTTTCTGAGCCTGACTGTCCAACCTGGACAGAAATACTGCTGCAAGATGCATGCTTTTTCTGGATACCATTTGGAAACATAATGAAGAGTTCACTCAGGACCAACCATCAGGATTGTCTAGAAGGGACCCCAGGAACTGCAATCTGACTGCAGAGTTAAATACTTAAAAAGAAAATGAGTGACACAAGCTTTCATAATCTGGGTGAGGAATGTAGGTGGCAGAGTTGGAAGTGGGCCTCGGAGACAGGGAAGAGTGCAGTGCACAGAAGGACACCACAAGATCAGTTGGAATGTATGCCATGACACCATGAGCTTTTAGGGATAAGGCCAAGGAAATGAAGGGTATGACATATGCCCTTTATTTGGGAGTGCAGCTCGAATATATGGAGCTCTGCCTAGGGGTGGACAATGGGCCAACTGAGAGTTTATGGGTAAGGATTAAGGAGAGGGAAAAAAATGGGTGACATTGTTATGGATTCTTGTTATAGGCCACCTAATCAGGAAGAAGGCCACCTTCTGGATAGAAGTAGCGTTTAACCACCCTAGTATCTGTTGGAGAGACAATACAGCAGGGTACAAGCAAGCTAGGAGCTCCCTGGAGAACATCGATGACAGCTTCCTAAGAATCTAGTCCAGACCTGAAGTACTTACAAAAACAGAATGACTGCTTGTGGATGTGAGGGTTGGGGGAATCTTGGCTACAGTGACTGTGTTGGAATTCTGGATCCGGAGAGAAGGACGCAGGGCAAAAGGCAGGATCACAACTCTGGGCTTCAGAAGAGCAGGCTTCAGGGATCTGCTTGGAAAAATCACATAGAATATGGTCCTAGAGGGAAGGAGGCTCCAAGAAAGCTGGTTGATATTTAAGGATCACGTCCTCCAAGCTCAAAAACAGTCCATCCCAGTGAGAAGGATGTTGAGAAAAGGTGGCAGCAAACTCACGCGGATGAGCAAGAAGCTCCTGGCAAAACTCAAATATAGGAAGGAAGTGTGCAGAAGGTGGAAACAAGGACAGGTAGCCTGGAAGAAATACAGAGGGCATTGCCCAAGCATGCAAGAATGGGGCTGTGGAGACCAAGGTCCACTTGGAGCTGATGGACACAGAGTTCCTGCAGTGAGTCCAACAAAGGGCCGCTAAAATGATGAAGGGACCGGAGCATATCTTATATGAGAGAAGTCTGAGAGGGCTGGTATTGTTTAGCCTAAAGAAGAGAAGTCTCAGAGGGATCTTATCGCCGTAAATAAGTATCTGAAGAACAAGTGTAAAGAAGACAGAGCCAGACTCTTCTGAGTGGTGGCCACTGACAGATCATAAGGCAATGGGCACCAGCTGAAGCACAGGATATCCCATCCCATCTGACTATGTAGAGAAAAACTGCTTTCTTCCTGTGAGGGTGACTGAGAACTGGAGCAGGTTGCCCAGCGAGGCTGCGGGTCTTCTTTCTTGGAGATACTGAAAGCTCCTCAGGCACAGTCCTGGGCAGCCTGCTCGAGGAGGTGGGTTGGACCAGGTGATCTCTAACGGTCCTTTCCAACCGCAACCGTCCTATGATTCTGTATGAACAGGCCTAAGGCTCCCCTTCAAGCTACATCCAGCTACCTCTTCTGACTTTATGATGGGATGGGCTGCTGGATGGAGGTACCAATATGTATTGACGTCTTTTTTTTAAGGTGGTTTAGATTCCAAAACTAAAGCCAACAGAGAGAAAAAAAGCCTGTAAAGATCATGGTCCATCATACTGAGAAAAAAATGCAAAAGGGTCAAACATGGAATTGCTGGGAGTTAATAGAGCCGTTGAGATGACACATCAGTCACTGTTAATCAGGAAACCTTGATCAATAATCCATAATCAACTATGTAATTAAAGCTGTGAAACACATATACTTGAAGATCGAATGTCTTGCCAAAACACCTCTGTCCCCAATATGCCTCAGTTGTTTTGTATCTGGCTGTTTTGTATCAGCTTTAAGTAACAGAAGCATAAATAGTGTTACCAAAGATCAAGAGATATACTAGACTACCAGCATGTAGTTATTTGCCTGCTGGAATCCTCCAACGCTTCCCCTAATTTCTGTGGGGCCTGACTGCTCACCTATTTTACCGTGTGGCTGTGGCTATAATTTAGATGCTGTAACTCTTGAACTGTCACCCTTCAACTAATTATGTGCCTCAGTAAACTTATATCCCTATCTTTTGAGGGGTGGTTCTTAGACTTCGTGGCATTTTATCAAGTGTGGTATTTGAGCGAGGGAAGGGAGCACGCGGTGATTAGGAGTATGCATGGGATGTGATTGTTAGGATTCATCCATAGACCTTGACCTGCCAGGCCTTGGGGAGATCCCCAGAACATTCAACACACCCCAAAAATGGATCATGATGGTGAAAAAAAAAGAGAGAGCACAAAGTGTGAGATGCATGATAAGTCATCTCTGCTATTTGATTGATTGAGTCGCAGCACTAGTCATCCAGGAGGGTTCTGGCACGGAGCCTGATCCGCCCTACTGATGATCAGCTTCCAGCACCATCAATTCCTGCCCGTCTCAGTGTGCTACCCAGCAAGAATTACTCGAGGGTGTGACAGACAGCTTCCAGAAAGGGACAACGGGCTCACTCCAGCACCCAGAGGTTTTCCATAAGCATGCCTGGAACTGTTTCGGATTTTGCAAGAAGGAACATCTTGATGTTAAGAAAGTGGGATCCCAAGATGCTGAGACCAGAGCGGGCTGAGGGGTGGTGGCATGTGTACAAGGCCTCTGCCTGGGCAAAGATGAAACTTTCTGGATGATGATTACAACAACATCCGCTGGGAGATGATGAATTACAGTTTCTAAGGCATCTTTTTGAGCCTAATGCTTCTCCGTCTTGCATTCCACAGTCAGGAGCTTAAGGGATTTCACTTTGACAGTTGTCATTGCAGAGCTGCCTCCTTCAACTTTCTCCCATCGTTAGCAGTTCCTAAACTACCCACAATTGAGGAAAACGTGCTCCTTTCCCCCTGCCAGCTTGGACGGTGGGCAACTGATGGGAAATATTTCTCTTATTATTTTTACCTGACTGGGCAGATGAAGGAGGCAGTTCCAGAGAACTGCTGGGACACAAAACAACCCAGTGCTTTGGCATACGTTTGACAACAGACTGATTTAAAGCTCCTTGGCAGCTCGTGGCAACTAAGAGACAGCACTTGCCCACTGAGGGTGTTGATGGTACACGTCTTGAAGGGGGAGCTCTGGCTTGGCCTCAAGGCAGATGTTGTTTAATAGACACTCCTTGGACAGAGGTTGGAGGTCCTGTTTACCCTTCCCGTGTGGGTTGTGGAGCAGTGGTGGAGATTTCGTGGAGCATCCTCAGGTTCTGTAAAAGTGAGAGTGACCATATCACTGACCATCCAAACTGTGAGATCTTAGTGAATTTGGATTTGTGAATATTTTCTCTTCTTGGCACAGCTAACTACATCCATACCCTGGGAAGAAGTAGCTGGGAACCTACATCTTTCTCCTGAACACGTCCTATGAAAGCACTGGTTGGCATCTTGCTCAACATCCTGCCAGCTGTGCTTGCCCTCTGACACACTTTCTCTTCATGCACTCTGATAGCCAGCTGCTAGGTTAGAGCTGTGTATCCTTTGGAGGAATTAGGTGCTTAGAACATAGATGTGGCTAAGCTGAAGTCCTCTCTGTTCCCAGAACACGGCCAGACTGCTCAGGGCCACCAGAGATCCTGAATGGAGTTCCATTGCAACTGGTGTCTCCTAGAAGATCTGCTGAATTGCACAGCTGTACATTTGTCAGGAGGCCAGGCAATGTTTCCTTGCTAGAATTTATATGTAGAATTTATTCATGAAAATGAGATTTTTCAAAACTCATTTATATATATATATATAAAATAATCAAATTATCTAGGTTGTGAAAGGTATGTATATAAAACACACATATGGTGGGTAGCAAGATCTCCTGGAGAGGAGCACTATAGTGTGGGAAATGCTCTGTGTACATGTGGTGAGCTTGCCATGTAGACTGCAAGGACAGTAAGAGTACTGCAAAAAAGAGCTGCATGAGTTGGGTCAAAACTCTTGGACATGCAACATATTTCTACTGCTGAACACCTAGCAAAAGTATGTGGCAGGGGCAGGAGGCACCGGGTGAGGGTGGGACATGATAACTCACTAATTAGGAACTGTGCAGTAGCAGCCTTGCTGAAAATGACCTGGGAGTGAGAGTGGATGCCAAGCTGAATTTGAGCCAACAATGTGCTCTGATTGCGAAGAGAGAGAACCAGATTCTGGGCTACGGGAGTAGGAGTGTGGCCAGCTGCTCTTAATTAGCTGTCACCCCCTTTATGCAGTGTGAGAGTGACCACACCTGGATAGTGGGTCCAGTTTGGTCTCCATGGTGTTGAGAGGCATGTGGAGACACCATCCAGGCCCCACGAAGGCTGCCAGGGTGGCAGTGTCCCTGCAGCAAGAAGCAGAGGGAGCGGAGTTGTTGGGTCTGACCAGGCAGGGGTTGAGAGGACTCTCACAGCAGTCTGTGACTTCTCAGAGGACAAAAAAATGATACAGTTAAGTGCTTCTTTTTGGTGGCAGATATGACAAGGGACAACTACCTTTTGCCAGAGAGAAGCG